TGGTGTTTTCTTATATACAGTCCTCTTTCTTAATTTCTATTATTATTTAAATCATTATTTAGTTGATCTGGACTCTTACGGTAAGTGATAAAAAAGAATAATGCAAATAATTTCCTGGCTATCACAACATCATTTACTTAATCTTCCTTTTCACCATTGATCCACATAACCACCTCTACCATTGGGTAAACTCTTAATTACCTTTCAATTAGCTTTTAAATTTTGATTGTGCTCTTTCTGTTTTAACAGTCTTAGAATATATGATAATAACTTATTGGGTAAATGCCCTCTGAAGCATTCATTCTACAAATAACCTTTAAAGTCAGCTGGTCACACTCTCTGCAAACCCTTATAAAATATTCTTGAGGGTTTTTTAAATTGGAATCACATTAAATTAAGTTATGTTTATTGGTCTTTTCTCATTCTACAACTGCTTTAATCTATTCTAATTTTTAAATTTTTCTTGAAAATTATACATTTTATTAAGACTGCCATTTGTAGTAATATGCATCAGCACTAGCTAAATTATTTTCATCTATATCATAATGGTCAATTTCAACTGTACATTGTAACACTTTATACGGGCTCCTTATTTCTCTCTCTGTTTATCATCTAAGTTTTTCTCAGTTTCTTGAGTTCAATACCTAGTTCATTTATTTTATTCTTATCTAAAATGAATACATTTAATAACATAAATTTTTAGGACAATTCAGGCCATATTTCATAAATTTTGATATGCAGTATTTTCACCAGCATTATTTTTCTGAATTGTTTGTAGCAACATCTGGACCTACTCTTTGACACAAAGGAATTCAGAGGAGTCTTTAGTTTATTCTCTTCCAAATTAGCTATCTATCTATCTATCTAGTTATTTATTCGAGATTCTGATTCAGAGAATGTAGACAGTACAATTTATCCTGTTTCAGAATCAATCCATTTTTCTAAATGCTCCAAGATTACTATCAATAATGTATATCCTTTGATGCAATGTATGAAGTGAGCCAAGTACCTATTAAACCAAGTTTATCTCATCTGGCCCAAAGAAATTCTAATGTCTTTATAATGACCTAAGAAAGTTACGTAGCAAAGTGGCCTCTGTTACATTTTTCACCTCATTTCTATTTTTCCCCGCCTTGCTCACTCCTCTCCAGCCATACCGCACTTCTGGACAGCGTCAGGCTTGCTTTTACCTCAGGGCTTATGTACTTGTTTTCACTCTGTCTAGATCTTCCCAGAGATATTCACATAGCTTGCTCCTTCACCTCATCTTCCTTCTATTACTATTGGTATCTCTCTAACTAGACTGAAAGCTTGGTTACAGTAGTTACTTTTGTCTGTTTTGTTTTTGCTCAATAACATATCTCCAGAGTCTATAATACTGTCCAGAAAATAGGAGGAACTCAGAAAAGAACTATTGGTTGAATAAATTAATATTTAAAAGCACAGACCCTGAAGCCATAAAGCCTGGCTTAAAATCTCTGCTGCCTCCTCTTACTAACTATATTAACCTTGGACAACCTCCTTAACTTCTCTGTGCCCAGGTACCTCCTCAATAAAACAGAAAATTATAGTCATAGTACTTATCTCATAAGGAAGTGCTAAAAATTAAAACAGTTAATACATGTAAAGTACATTGAGTGGGGAAAGTATGGTTCAGTGGTAGAATGCGTGCTTAGCATGTACGAGGTCCTAGGTTCAATCCCCAGTACCTCCAGTAAAAAAAATAAATAAATAAATAAATAAACGGAATTACCTCCCCCCTTCAAAAAAATTTTAAAAAGAAAAGTACACTGAACAGTATCTATGAATAGTAAATGCAAAATAAATGTTACCTAAATACTATTATTACTTTAATTACTTCTTGAGCTATACAGTCAGTCCTCCATGTCCATATGTTCTGCATCCACAGATTCAATCAAATGCAGACAGAAAATACAAGAAAGAAAGAAAGAAAGAAAGAAAGAAAGAAAGAAAGAAAGAAAGAAAGAAAAAAGAAAGAAAAAAGAAAGAAAAAAGAAAGAAAAGAAGGAAATTCCAGAAAGTTCCAAAAAGCAAAACAGATCTGCAGCTGCACTGGCAACTATTTACATAGTATTCACACTGTATTTAAAACTTTCTACATAGCATTTGCATTATATTAGGTTTTATAAGTATTCTAGAGATGACAAAGTATACAGGAGGATGTGCTGTATAGATCACATGCAAATACTACACCAATTTATATAAGCATCCTTGGATTCTGGTACTGGAGCAGGTTCCTGGAACCAATCTCCTATGGATACTAAGAAATGACTACACTTTAAAATTTCCTACCATGTTTAAGTCTCAGTCAACTTTTTAAAACTTTCTAACATTTTTTGCCTTATATAAATACCAGTGCTTTATATTATGTCACACAAATTACTACTACTTTGGGGGATTATACACTTCCTTTACATGAAAAACTGTATCCGTCTTCTACGCTTTTTTCCTTGAGTTCTATTTTGATCTGAACTTTTCTTTCCTTTGCTTGTTGTTTGTTTTTGTTTTTGCTATATTCCTTACCATTCTTACATTTGCCAGGCTGATCCTCAAAAACTCCTTTATCTTCAATTCTTTTTGTCTCAATTTGTTTTAGGTCTATCTCTTCTAAAGAGTATAGCTAGAAATGAAGGATAAGGCCTTGAGCGCAATATGTCACACTGGTTCTATCCTCTAAACAACTTCCCTGTCCTCCAGCAGATGCTATGGTTGGAGTCTCCTAGGAGACCCAGACTACTTCATCCCAAGGCACGCTTTTACACTGCATACGGTGACTCACAGCCTTATGCAGCCTTCCTAAGTATTCTTTTTATCTTTTATAAATTCTTTTTAAGTTTTCAGTGTCAGGAGAGCAGCAGGTCAATGGGATTTCTTGTGGGTGGAGGTTGGAGAGATACTATCACACTGGCTTAGTGTACCATCTCAAACCCAAAGTCTCCTTTATTATAGGAAAAAAGTAAGTGTTTTTCTAAAAATTAAAAAAAAAAGACTATACTGATTTCTTTTCTTTTTCACCCAGATTGAATTTCTATTGTTTCTAGCTTAGAGATTTTGCTAGAAATTCCAAATCAATGTTATATAAATGGCAATAGTAGAAAATCTTCTCTTGTTCTTCTATGCAAAGTCTGTCAATGCCCTGCAGCCAAAGACCAATAGGAACACACCTGTAGATGAACAAGCTTTATTTACTGCTCATTGCAGTGAAGAAGAGCACAGCACACTACAGGTTAAGTAAGAGAGAGGCGTCTCAGTAAAAGGGTGTTAGAAACTACTTACAGGATATAGGCTGACGATAAGTGATTTGGGAGCGAGTTCAAGGAAGTGAGGCTTTGCTCTGGATTGGTTACGATCCAAGAAGTGAGGATAATTCTGTGACTGAGTATCTTACAAAAGATTTATTAAATGTTACAGATGAACAGAAGACTACAATGAGACTAAAGTTGTAATTAGTAAAGAAGCAGCAACTGCTCACATTAACCAGGACAGAGGCGTGTTTTGTTTCTGTGGCTTGCACAGTGACTTCTGTACATGCCTAGATAAGTTTATGAAGTGACCTTGTTTTTTGTTTCATTTCATCACAGTCCCAGAGTGACTTATGTCTGATGCTGACGTTCTATGAGATTATGTTTGAAAAGAGGACATCAAGGCTCAGCTGTGAATGCCAAGTCTGTTTCCAGATTCAGAGACTGCTTTTCCCATTCAAGTTCTTAAGAATGTTTCAATTTAATTCTTTAAAATTTCTCCTGATATATCCCATTACGTCTCATAAAAATCACTAGATCTGATCCTTTCATGGCTGTTCAGAAATAGATACAAATCAATCTACAAACTGACTATAAAAAAAGAATAGGCCAAATCCAAGCATGCATTCAAAGGTAACACAGGATGTGCACAGTAGTTACACAAACTAACCATAAAATAGAGACAGTCACCTAAGTAGCAAGAAAAGAAAACCACGAACAAAAGCCATACAATCCAAAAGAATTCCTTCCCACTTTGATAAAAATAAATGCACTATCACATAAAGTGAATATACAAATGAACATGCATTAAAAAATGCCTCACTTTTTTTCCTTTTAAGAAAAAATGACATTATAAAGGATAATAAAAGAACAATTTATAAAATCAGAATAAGATATAGGGAGTAGATAACAGCACCATATCAATGTTAACTTGTTGAATTTTAAAATTATACTGTGATTACATAGGACAATATCCTTGTTTTAAAGGAAATATACAATGAGGTATTTAGAGATAAAGGAACATTATGTCTAGTATCTTACTCAAACAATAAAGAAAAAATTGTATGTGTAAATATGTTTAAAAAAAGAGATAAAATGAGAACGATAAAACAAATGTGATTAAATGTTAATGACTAGATAATCTGCATAAAGTATACAGAGGAATTACTTTCACCATTCTAGTAACTTTTCTCTAAGTCTTAAGTTATTTCAATACAAAAAGTTAAAAAAAAAAAAAAAAGAGTCTGGCCTCAAAATTAGATTTCACAAATATCAGCATCCCCAAATCAGAGATAAAGAGAGTAAAAATCAAACTAATCATACAATTAATTAAAAGAAAGGTGAAGCCAGAGTCTATTTTACTCAAGCCTATAGTTTACCTTCCACAGAAAAGCTGCATGTTTCAACATAATGATGGGTAATTCTCCAATAGATTATAACTTTCTTATCCCTGAGAGAAACAATGCCCCGATTATTCATAATTTCCTCTTACAGTATTTTCTTCCTTCTAAGGTCTAATGTTACCAGTATGTCAAAAAAAATTTGTTTAACTCATCAATGATGAGCAAACGTATCGCTGATTACGCATCAAAGTTATTCAAGTCCTAATTACTGCCACAGCATTCAAAAGAGCTGTCTTTATGGACAGGACATTCCAGTAAACTAACCTATGATTTTACAACTCAGGTGATTATATTCATGGTACCACCAGAACATACTGTTAGATACACCATTTACCTGAGAACTGCCACTGAAACCTGGAGGTTGGCTGTATTCTGTGGAATCAATAATACTACTGCAAAATGAAGAAAGAAAAATGTGATTTCAGTGTTTACATTCTTTCAGCAACAGAAAAAGTAAATCTAAAATATATCATATATAAATCCAATATTTCTAATTTCTAAGCAAAGAAAATATTTACTGCCAATGATTTAAATAGACATCAAATAAATACATATACCATAAACAACAAATCAGTAAATACTTAAAACAATTTACCCCTTCATCCCACCACCTTAAACATACCCACCATGAAAGAATGTCAAAAAGGGAAGAATCACAAGGTAGGTGTACACATAGAAGTATCTGCTTCAATTTCATTTTCAGATAGGTTAGTTAGTTGTTTGGAACTCTATTTAAGGAAAAGAGGACTTAGAGTATTGGCAAAAGGGTACAAGCATGCAATCAAAAGCTGTGGTCAACAGATTCTCTATGACACTAGATCTATGTGCCCTTGGACAAATACCTTATAACCACTCAGTTTCCTTATCTGCAAAGTGAGTTGAGTGGGGACTAGACACCTCTAGAGTCCCTTCAAGCTCCAAAATGTTATGATAATCATCTTGTGTGAAAGAAAACTATCAAAGGAATGGAATAAATGGTAAAATACCAATTATCTTTGTTTCATAACCCAAAACCTATGTTCTAAATTTTTCTGCCCTTGTCAAACAATTTGCTTTCTCCATTGGTTCTATTTGATTACATTCTCTGTGCACTCTCCTACCTACCCCTAGCAAAACCTCTAGAAGTCCAGACACTCTTTTCTTCCTGTTAGTTCTACCTTACCGTATCTATTTCACACTTGAACACTCCTATCTCCTTCCCATCTTTAAATCCTATAAAGACTATTAACACCTGAAAATAGCATTACATATATATAAACATGATAAATCAAGAGTTATTTATGCTTTTAAAAATTCTTCCCTATTTCTACTATAAAAATGTTTCTATTCTTGTCTACCATAAGGAAATTTAAGCAATTGAGGGTAGTAATTTAAATGGTTCTCTTTACACAAATACATACAAAATCTTTATTTACTTTAGCACTCAAATAATCACAAAGGTTATGAGAGGCATTCTTAAGAGCACAGAGTGAGTTTTAATTTCACCCCTTAGCAGGTAAATGACTCTGGG